ACATTAGAAATTTAATCTTGCAAAAAAAAAGCTTTTCTAAATTAAAAGCTATAAAGAAACAATTGACAATAAAAATTCTTCTCACCTATGACCAATAAAAATGAAATACTCCAGAAATCATTAAATATCTAGTCAATACAAATTTAGGAATAAGTATCATGTTTTTTTTCTTAACATTACTGCAATTAAATATGTACATACATATACATTTATATGAATAAATAAATGGATGAAAAATGTGTCTATTTACTTTATTGGGACGTTTTGTATATTGCGATGTATGTAAAATTTAAAAGCTCATTAATAAGAATGTGTAACATGAAATGAATTTATGACTGACGAGACTTACAATTTGAAGTGGGATTTCTTTTGTATTCTTTTTTTATATATTGTTTTGTATTGTATTGTATTGTTTTGTATTGTATTGCATTGTATTTTATTGTATTATTTGTATTAAACATTTTTATCATCAGATATGTATCAATCTTAATAAGCAATATCAGGCTATATGCATGTACACACTCATTTTAGATCGTCATTGTTGGTCATCATCGTCGTCGTAATCACCATTATAATCAACATCATCATTATCACCATAATTTTCGTCATCATCGTCATCACCATCATCACCATCACGAACAACTCAATCATTCGGACAATAACGATACGCAAAATCACCATTCAATGGATGCACCTTGAACTGATGGTCTGCATTTATAACAGGCTCTCACACTGGCACATACTTACAAACTCACACGCACATACATACACAAACACCACACACGCGATAATTTCTATACGTAAAATACAAACAAAAATTTGAAATACATTTTTTTAGCTATTCTAATTGTAATCTGCAACAGCAAACAAAGAACAACAAAAACTACAAAACAAGTATTACAACAACAACAAAAGCAGCAGCAGCAACAACAACAAAGATGACGACAACAACGACAACAAAAACAACGCTGAGCTGACTTTGAGAATAATTATCATTTAGATAGTGATACTACTACAACTGCTACTATTATTATTACTACTCATCCTTCTCCTTCTACTACTACTACTGCTATTGCGACTGTTACTACTACTACTACTTCTACTGCTATTATTATTACTACTACTACTGATAATAGTAATAATAATAACAATAAAAATAATAATAATGAAAACAATGAGAAGGCGTTTTGATAGTGATGTCGGAGTCTGGCTTAACAAATATGTGTAAAAAGGTTGACTTGGACTCATTTATGCAGCGCAAACGTGATTTATTAGCTTTTATACTTTTTGAAAACTCATGTGTTATCAACCTCCCTCTTTTTATTCTTTCAAATTTTTGTTCTCTATTTCTTTCTCTTTCTTTTCTTCTCTCTTTTTTTTTCTTTTTTCTCTCTCTCTTTCTCTTTCTCTCTGTTTTTGATTTCATCTATCTCTTCCCTTCATTTTATTCTTCCCATCTCTTTTTTTCTTTCCCTTACCTCTCTCCTTCTTCTTCCGATTCTCTCTTTTCACCATTCCATCTATCTTCTTTTTGTTTTTTTATTCATTGGCTTTATTTACGTGACAGCATCTACGTCTGTTTTGAGATATTTCATCCCTGTTCTTTTTGTAAATTTTTCCCTCAAATTATTTCTTAAACATTTTTTTTATCTCTGCTCATTTTTTCATATAAAAAATTATTAATAATAATTATTTTCAGCTTTCAAAACTTTTTACTGTCAGCAACTTTTCTATTCAGAAATAATATTATGATTGTTGTTGACCTTAAAAACTTTTTCAAAAATTGATATATACTAAACAGTAGTGTTCATTTACATACAAACACATAACAATTAATGCATGCGATATGTACGATGTTTTGTATATATATATTTTGTTTTGTGTGTTTTGTATTGTATGTTTTGTATTGTATGTATAGCATTTTATGTTTCATTTCATACATACATACATATCCGCTCTCATATAAACATTGCTATATTATTTTACACGTGCATTTATTTATATATTTGCTATAAATTTGCTATAAATAAGCATTGTACTAATGTTTTTAAGCAAGTATGCAAGTGTATTATTATTATTATATCGAGTCAGAGGGGCTTCAACCAATATCGCAACTGTTCAACTCCATCCGTCCAGACGTCGCCATTCTGCGCAACGGCAAAATTGAAATTATCGAGTTAACGGTGTGCCATGAAACAAATCTGCTAAAATGAAGAAACTACAAACTATCGAAATACGAGAATGGTTTGAATTCATGTCTGAACGCTGACTTTAAGAACTGTTCAATTTTTCTAAAAACATTTGAAATAACTCCGATAGGCTTTTTCAATATTTTGACGCTAATTAAAAATTTATGGCTGATTTCATTTATTAACAAATTAATAGACTCTGTAATTAGATTGACCTTTGCCATTTATTGCGATAGGAACACTTCATAACTAATTTTAATACATTACCGTTTTGCACTTGTCCTAGACAATGAGCATTGCGGTTTTTATTGAACATTATTACATTTTTTAATTACTTTTTTTCTTTCATTTTTAACGACTTTGGTTGAAATAAAAGAGTTTCCATTACTATTGTGTTTGTAAGACAGTGAGTCAGTGAATCAGTCAGTGAATCAGTCAGTGAATCAGTCAGTCAGTCAACCAACCAACCAACCAACCAATCAATCAATTGATCGATCGTTCGATCGATCAACCAATTAGTTTATAAAGCGCTATTTCCATGATGTTTAATAGCGCTACTCAATAAATTTTGCAAGCAGATGGGTCATGATATCCGCTCTGAACTTCGTAAGTGATGGAGAAGTAGTCAGAAAAGGAAAAACCAAAGAAAAGGGCCAGAAAGAGCAAATGCAGATTTAGCAAAAGAGTGTTAAACACAAGTTGAAAAGAAGTGAGAACATGAAGACGATCGTAAACCGGCGCGTTTAGGTTCAATTTTTACTTCTACTTCTACTATACTACTAATATAAATAACAAATAATTATAGATTTTACAAGCATAGATAAAAATTGTTGAGGAAAGCAGTTATGATTTCATGAAAAGTGAAAAATTGTTTATAACAATTTTCTATAACATCCACTCACTTACCATTATTATTATTGTTATTGTTATTATTATTCATATTTATTATTCTTATTATCATCGTCAATAAAAGCATTAGGTTTTTAAAGTGTTGTTTGCGCAATTTCGTATCGAATCGATAGCCCGATTGAAACGTTCATGTCTGCTGCCTATTTAACACATTTCCTTTTTCTCTCTTTCTCTCTCTCTCTCTTTCTCTCTCTTTCTCTCTAGACGATCTTTCTTTCCTTAATATTTTTCACAAATTAAAATTAACTTCTTTTAATTCGTTTCATTTTTATACAGAATTTATTTGACGTAATTATTTTTCTTCAAAATATTTTTCTTCAAAATTAAACTCCAACGATTTTTGGCGGCGAATAAGGAAGGAACCAGCCAGTTGCAGTCGAGGCCAATAAAACACGAATTAATATCCTTTTCCTGATATTCATTCGCGCCAGAGAGTCGCGACACAAACGGCCACCTACCCACCACAGATATTTTATTTATGCCGGGTAATTAATCACACATTCATCGCTAATATAAAGTCTTTTATTAACGTTTTTTAGGCTTGCGATACTTGCTTCTTGGAGTACTTAAGTATGTAGGTACGTGTGTGTGTTTGTGTGTGTGTGTGAGGGGGTGTATGTGTGTGTGTGTGTGTGTATGTGTGTGTGATACACATATACCCATACTTACTTTAAACATTACGCATTATATATGCTTATAAACGCACATGTAAGCAAACACCAATAGCATCTTACACGGATATATACGCACATACACACATACACACGCACACTCAGGCATACGCGTGGAAATACATACGCGCATAAACACGCAAACGTTGTGTACCATTGATTGCTCTGTCTGTTTGTATGCACTTGTTGCGTATTCCTGTCTTTTCACGCACACACGCAAATCTTGTATACGTTTTTATCTATTTTTATTTATTTTTTTTCATAAATATGATTTATGATTTGATAATTGTATGATTGTAGATTCTGAGTGTGTGGGAACATTTTAAAGTGTTCAGTTTAATCAAACTGTATGAAATTGTACATCCAGGTAGAATTGGGACGCTGAAAGGGAACTGTGCTTTGCGTACAGATCAAACAGCCTTCCTGTTTTTGTTTTTAATTTTATTTATTTCAATTTGTTTTTATTAAAGCAGTCTTTAAGATTTATCTCAATACTGATGATTAACATATGGAACTGAAACTATGAGATGCTATTTAAATGGATAGTTCTGCGTATTAACTTCTACGTTTTGTACACAACTTCTTACCAAAATATGACCTTGCCACCTTTATTTTGTCGTTTATATACTTCTATATGCATTAATGGTTTTAGTTTCAATCTCATTTGTTAATTTCATAGTCATCCTTTATTTACTTCTTGAAATAGTCATATTTATTTATTTCTTTAATATGTGCTGAAAACATTCTCAATTATTTAATGAAACGTTCATATAATTTTATGTTTTATATGCATATTCAATTTCATTTATATAAATATACATGTGGTATGTGTATATATGTGTGAATGTGTTTGTACGAACATTTATATATATTGACACTCAATGACAGGGTGGCAGTTCTCGATGAGTCACTTAGACTCTTCACTGTCATTTCTGAACCTTGTTTCTTTTTTTGGATTCTAAATAAAAAATTGTAATTGTAATTGTATCGCATCACAGAAGCATCAGTTGTATTCGTTGATCAAAAATTTTTATCAGATATTTTCATAACAAGAAACAGTATATTTTTATTTTTACTACATGACAATCTTTCATTAAAAAAATGATTTAGTTACAGAAATTTTTTTGAAATTTTTTGTTATTTTTTATCTTTCATACTCATTTACGAACATGTATTAAATAAAACAAACATGTATTAAATAAAATAAAACAACAAATCTTTGAAAATTTCAGGCTGTAAAATAAAGACACTCCGTTCGAAGACAAACACGTACATTAAGACGCCAGTACGTGGAGACGAACCAATTTTTGTGGTCACCGGACGTCAGGAGGATGTCCAGGTGGCCAAGCAGGAAATACTTGCCGCTGCTGACCACTTCAGCCAGATCAGAGCCACTAGAAAAACATCTGGAAACTTTTCGTCATCATCGTCGTCATCGCCATCATCTTCGTCGTCTTCTTCTTCATCAGGAAAACAGTTTCTTGGAAGAAATGGCAATGGAGGAGGAAGGCAGGGCAACAACAGCGGGGTAGGGCTTGGTGGGCCTGGTGGTCCGAGAAACAGAAACACAGACGGCAACAAAAGTTGTCTGAACCAGTGGTACAGAGGGGCATGCAAGGGTAATGACGTCATTAATGCGTCAAAATCATCGTCGTCATTTTCTTCTTCGTCGTCAACTGCAACAACAGTTTTGCAACAGAAGTCAGATAACATTGAAAGTAACGGTCCGAATGTTGTTAGCAAAAAATTCAATGGCAAGCAGGATAGTAACGAAGCAGTTAAGGATCGTGGCGGCAAGCTTGAAATGGAAAAGAATAGATCAACAAACTCCAACAACATCATTTTAAAAAAACCTTTTCAAACATACGAATCAAACATCGAATCTCCAATTGAAAATAAAAACCAAACTCTTGCAGTTTCCAATGCATCAACGTCAGCTAAATCTTCAGCAACATCAACGACAGCAATAAAAACATTAACAACAACAACTACTACTACTACTGCTTCAACGACATCCATAACATCAGTAGTTGAAAAAGTTGAAGTAAAAACTGATTCAAAGACAGCGACACCAAGCTCAGTAACAGGGGAAAGTAATAAACACGACAAATCATCTAATAACTGTCAACAAAAACCATCATCACCACCACAACTATTATCATCAACAACAACAGCAACAACATCATCATCAACATTAACATTATATTTTTCGACATCATCACCATTACCAACTTCCGCCGCCACAACTGCAATGAAATCTTCAGTGACGTCATCGTCGTCGCTATCTTCACTATCATCTTCATTATCGACGTCATCGTTTCTCACACCACCCTTGCCATCATCATCAGCAATGACAGTGACAACATCTTCCTCCTCATCAACATCGTCCTCTACTCCCTCGTCAACCTCCTTGCTTCTTCGTTACCAGACGACGAAAGAGGTACGGGTGCCCTTCAAAGTGGTGGGCCTGGTGGTTGGGCCGAAGGGAGCCACCATAAAGAGGATCCAAGAAGAGACGCAGACATACATTGTGACGCCAAGCAGAGATAAGGACCCTGTCTTTGAGATCATCGGATGTCCTGAAAATGTCGAGAAAGCCCGCCAGGAAATCGAGAGCTACATCAACCTACGTACCAAGGGGTACGCAGAGTACAATCCCATCGCAAAGTGCACCAACGCGTCCGATCATTTCAATGTTAAAAATCTGAATAATTTTTCTTTTGACCTGTGCAATGTTAGAAATTATTTGAACGCGAAAAGTGGTGAAGACGTCGGCAATGGTGGCAATATACTTTCTAACTTGTTTTACAGTGGATCGAATAGGAATGGAACGTCGTCTGCTGAGCTGGTCGACGGCGGCGCAAGCAGTATTGATGTCTTGCTAGAGAATTTGAAATGTCTTAACGCGGCCGAGAATATATGGGAGAAGTACCTCAACTTCAACAACATCGATTGTGGGAGCATTTTAAATAGCATCAATAACATCAACTGCAATGGTTTTAACGGGGATGTAAGCAGTAATTTAAGCTACAGCAACACACCACAACAACATCAACTTCACCACATTCACCACAACAACATCAACTTCAGTCCAAATAATGTCAGTAACAACTACAACAACAACATCAACAACGGCAATCTAATTAATGCAAATCAAACTACAAAGCCTTTTTTGTCCAGTCCATTTGAAAATTGTGCGTTATTTGAAAATTTGAAATTTTTTGATCACGATTTATTTTATAACAACGCTTTCACAAACAACAACAATAATAACATTTACAACAACATCAACAACAACATCAACAACAACATCAACAACAACAACAACAACATCAACAACAACAATAGTGACATTAATAGCGTGAACTCCAGCATAGTTAACGGTAACTGTAATTTTTTCAGCAACCACCTTGAGAATAAGAACATTCAATCAAATCACATTGATTATCCTCTCGACACTCAACAATGCACTCTTGACATGAAAAACTTCAACACCACTACCAACAACAACATCAACAACATCAGCAGCAGCAGCAACAACAACATTAACAACAACAACAATGCCCTCATCTTAAACAACATCTATCGCAATACCACTAACAATAACAATCTCAACGCAAACGGCGGTTTCTTTTATAATAACAGTAACGTCGTTAGCAACAGCAGCAGCAGCAGCAGCAGTAGTAGTAGCATCAGCAGCGGCAACGTCAGAAGCTACTGTAGTAACTTCAACAACAACAACAATATCAACAACATCAATAACAACAGTAATTTCGACACGCTGTACGAGAATTTGGTCACATTTAATGATGTTATGATTAATGATGTCGAGTGTCTACAAATGCAGTAAACGAATGAATGAATGAACAAATGAATGAACGAATGAACAAAGGAATGAACAAATAAATGAATGAATAAATAAATGAATGAATGAATGAAAAAATGAATGAGTGAGTCTTGAAAAAAAGCAAAGAAATGAAAACATTGATGAAAAAACGGAAACTGTTGAATGTTTTTGTTTGGCGTGAATGAAAAACGTCCTCAAGTAAATAAACGAATGAATGAATGAATGAATGAATGAATGAATGAATAAATGAATAAGCAATGAATGAATGAATGAATGAAAAAATGAACAAAAAAAATGAATGAATTAAGGAAAAAATGAATGAATGAATTAACAAATGAACGAGTAAATGAATGAACGAACGAGCAGATGGAAAATGAATAGAGAAAATTAACTTGAATAACACCTAAAAACAAATAAATGCAATAAAAAAAGTTAATAAAACCTTTTTTGAAAAATTTAAACAAATTATTAAAATAATTCCAAATTAAAGTTAGTAAAACCTCACTTTCTGACAAGTATGCAATTATTTAAATTCATCAATTCATCATAATCTACATAAAATTTCTATGCTCTTTCAATACGAAAAAGCACTCATTGTTATTAAATTCACATTTTGAGGTATGTGTGTATTGTAAATTTATATCTGCATCTCATCAATGTAATTATTTTGTATTGTATTTGAAAAGAACTTTTACTAACTCTCTCTTGTTCTCTCCCTCTCTTATTTATCTCTTTCTTTTTTATCCTTATCTTTTTCTTCTCTTTCTCTCTTTTTCTTTCTCTTTCTCTCTTCTTTGTTTTCTTCATATTTTTCCTATGTTACGTGCACATACGGAAGTAAATTTGATTTATATGATAATTCGTACATACAGACACACACACACAGACAAACAAACACGTACGGACACACACACATGCATATATAACTTGTAATTTATGAAATGCAATTAATATTTATGTGTGGAGACATATCTATTTTTATAGTTGCAACGCTATGTAGCCATACTGTTTTGAAACTGAAATATAAGTGTGTGATTTATAGGAAATTTTTTAGTTTCGATTTGAACATCCCTAGTATCGTTTTCAATATTCTTAGTTTCGTTTTCAATATTCTTAGTTTCGTTTTCAATATTCTTTCTTTGTTATTCTATTCAGTAATTATTATTTAGTTTCGTTTTTATATTTGCTGGTTTTTTCAAAGCAAGGTCATTGCAAATCAGTAAACTGCCCACCAATACTATAGGCATATTTATCTATAATTTTCATAACCATAATTATTATCATCATTACTGTAATTTGTATTATAATTTATTATTATTATTTATTAATATTATTGTTATAATTTTATTTATTTATAATATATATATATATATATCCTTATACATTCTCCTTATCATCATCTTCTTATTCATCATTATCTTAATCATAATGGTCGCCACCATCGTCATCAACAAGAACATCATCGTCGGAAACATCTTTTAGATCGTCATCATCATCATCAACATCAACATCATCATCATCATCGTCATCATCATCAACAACATCATCATCATCATCGTCATCAACATCAGCATCATCATCAACAGCATCAACAATATCATTATTTTCATCATCATCATCATCATCAACATCATCATCGTCCTCATCATCATCATCAACAACATCAGCATCATCATCATCATCGGCATCAACATCAGCATCATCATCAACAGCATCAACAATATCAGTATCGTCATCATCGTCATCATCATCATCATCAACATCATCATCACCGTCGTCACCATCATCATCAACAACAACAACATCGTCATCATCATCATCATCGTCATCAATAGCAGCATCATCATCAACAGCATCGGTATCGTCATCATGCGCGTCGATTGACCGATCATGAGGCAATTAATTTAAAACTACCTGACAGGATAATACATCATAACGTGATCTATTTGCTAATAACAACAACAATAATGATAATAATAATAATAACAACAACAATAACACAACAACAATAACAACAACAGCAATAATAATAACCGTTATATGACTATAAAAATATGGATTTACGTTAAGAGTAGCATAGTGTGTTTACGATTAAAATATACATAACAGCAGTTCAACAAACAAAATACTAAATCAGAAAGTTTTGATACAACAACAATATTAGCAACAGCAACAAAAATGCAAAACATCAACAAAAACAACACATTAACATCAATATCAGCGTAAATTTCAACAACATTAACAACATCATCAACACCAACAACAACATCATCAACATAAAACATCAACGACAACAACATCATCAACAATACGAACAACAACATCAACAACAACATCAACAAAAAAACCAAAGAAACAGAAAAAGAGAGGCGCATATTGTAAAAAATAAACAATTGCATATCAAACTTCATCAACGACGTTCGTTTAACAAGTCTCATTCAATCAACACTCTCGCACGCACACCATCTGATATCTCCCCTATGGATGTGTGTGTCTCTATGTTTGTATGTACGTATGTTTGTGTATGTGATTGTATGTACGTATGTGCATCTGAGTATGTACGTTTGTGTATATGTGATTGTGTATATGTGTGTGTTCATGTATGTTTGTGTATATGTGGTTGTTCAGCGAGAGTTTTCAGAGGAAGAGTTTCCGTCAACAAGTTTTTCGGCCCTTTAACTTCCTGACACTCTCGAGAAACAGGGCCACATCCAGAGATCAGTTAGATGTCTCTTGCTAAGCAAACAGTTTGCCTCGCTTTGATATCACCTCTTTTAATACAGATAGTTCAAATACAAACATATCACGATGTGAGTTATATCGACGAGCCAAGTAACACGCTAAGCCGAATCTGGGAGTGTTGAGTAATCGGAAGCCTTAGGTGTACACAGGCATATGTGTATATATATTTGTATGTGTATGTGTGTCTGTGTATATGTGTGCGCGAGTATGTGTAAGTATGTGTGCATATTAGGGGTGTGTTTTGCGTGGGTGGGCAGACAAGATGAAATATGCTCAGTCATTTCAGAGGAAAAAACAGAAAAGTTGGAAAAATTAACCCATCAAATGTAATTATGAATTCTCTCGCAGACGTGGTTGTCGGAAAAAATGAAAAAAAAAAAATAAAAATTGTTGACTTTTTGAAATTTGTTGGTGATGAATAAAAAACTAATTAGAAAATTTGAAACAGGAAAAAGCAAGTGAACAAATTTATAGAAAAATAAAATAATGTTTTTATAGAAAAAAATAAAGTAAAAAAAAGAGAGAGAAGGGGGGAGGGGAAAAAAAGAAGAAAGAAATGAAAAAATATGGAAAGACAGAAAGAGAATGAACGTATGGGATAATAAAAAAATTCAAAAAGGTATTTAAGGAAAGTTATAGTGAGAGGAAAAACCGGGCAAAAAAGGAAGAGATAAATACATAGAGGAGGAAAAAGATAGAGAGAAAGAGAGGGAGAGAGAAAGAGTAAAATGAGGGTATGTAAGAGAGATTATTGAGTCCAGACCTATATCCCTTGCTGGTCATTTAATCGAACTTTTATTGTTGCACGTTACAGTCATCCTGCATTGTTTTTATTGATTGCACCAAGTACGTGAATGTGCTGGTACTTGTATGTATGTATGTATGTATATGACGACCTATAATGATGATGATGATTGTGGTGCTGCTGATACAAATGATGATGATTATGTGGGTGATGATAGTTATAACGATGATAAAAATAATTGTCCAGAATAATGTTGACGTTGACGATGATGATGATGATAATGTTGATGATGACGATGTTGATAATAGTCGTGGTG